GGGCCGCGCGGGGGCAGGAGCCTGCGTTTCCGGGGAAGGTGGCTGGAGGTAAAGGGCCTGGCGGGCTGCCCCGCCCTTCCCGCGAATTGGGCCGGCCTGAAAATAGGCTGCGTGAGACAACATACTACGAAGTTAAGCCTCGAAGTACGAATGTCGTGGATCACGTTGTTTGCCGGCCGCCTTCTCCCCCCTCCCCACCCCCAACCTTGCTTCCCAGATAATGAGGTATTTTAAAAATTCAGCAGGTTTCTGTTTCTCACACGTCCTTTCTTGTTTTGATTCCCACCTCTGTGACAATAACAGCGGCCAACTTCTTACTGAGCAAAGCGGCAGCTCGCTGCAGGCAATCTCGCTGCGTGCCTCATGGCGCAGGGAGCCAAGCTTCCCGGTGAACCCGTAGGCTTTTTTAATTGCTGATAACGTGTAATAGTTGCAGTCGTACGTTTGCCCGCCCTTTATACAGCAATTTGTTGTTTTACCAAGTCTCAACTCAGTCCTGTTCCCCTTAAAAGCACATCAGATCTGTACCTCTCGGTCACGCCCCGTACGATTTGTCCCCTTGCTGTGCTTCCCATCTCCCTGTCTCTGGTTCATGGAAGTCTTTTTTCTCCCTTTTCCAGGCAGTGAGGAGACACCCACAGTCGCGGTTCCCCATTATCAAGGCAGTACCTGAGCCACAGAGTAAGTGCGCATCTCCCCTTAAGTGCTTGCATCAGCTCATGAGTAGGGCTGTTAGTAGCAGGGTTACTAGGGTGGTTTAAATTTTTTCAGGCAATGACCTTGTCTGCAATTGTTTGCAACTGTTCTGCACTTGCACCATTCAGACTGAAATGCAAGGTTCTGCCTTGGGCTGATATGCCGCTCCCAGCTCTTCAGAACCCCACCTGATTGCCTGCTTTCTGCCAGAACATAAACCTGTGTCGCAACTGCATAAAATTTGCAGTCAAACCAAGTATAGGATAGCTTACCTGTTGCTGATAATGCCTAACAGCAGATTTCTAGGAAGGTGCGTGGTTCATGCCTGGTTTTTGAACAGACCTCTAGTACATCTTCCAAAATCAGCAGGTAGGTTCCTTGAGCCAGAGATTACATTTAGGTGTTGGCTATTACATTTTTTTGGCTCCAGTTATACGCCTGGCTTGCAAATCATCCTGTGCCAATGAATTCCATCATTCATGAATGATGAAATGCAGAACGGTGTGCTCAGGAAACATAGTCCTTTGCAGAGAGTTTGTCCAGTGAGACTGTATGGTTGAAATGGCCGATCAGCTTCCTCATCAGCCCAAAGTCTACTCTCAAAAAGGAGAAAGGAGGAGATGAGGAAGAAGGATCTGCTTAGACTCCAGCATGAAGAAGCACTCAGGAAAAGCTCTCAGGAAGAGGTATCCTGAAAAGGTTGAAAGAATATTGCCAGGCCTTTAAAGGGATGACAGATGAAAAGACAAGGAATGAGTCAACACATAATCAAAATTTGCCTGAGCAAAACAGCAAGGAGGATCGGCGAATGGTTGGAGGATGGTTTAGGACGCAGTGAGGAGTTTGATATAAAGCGTGCACCTGTGACTAGATAGCATAGTAACAACACTGATCATAGCAGGAGACAGTGATCTTACTAGACATCTGCATGTGCTGTGGAGCAGTATTTTAAGAGAAGAAAAGATCCCTGAAGGAACAGTGGAAGTCAGTCCTGATGAGAATATGCCAAAATGCAACCTGCAGTAGTGTGCAGACTCTTGTTGGTCTTTGATTGCGAGTCTCTTCACCGATCCATCCCTCTATGAAATGTTTCTCTCTTTATTCTTAAACACATTGAAAGCAAAAAGAACATCAGTGTGAAGAGGCAACCTAGTCTCTTAGAAATAGAGGAATGGCACAGCAAATCTGGTGCCTCAAATTAGCTGTAAAACGAATACAGAGGTCACTAGGAAGGTCTTTACGTTCTTTGTTGTCTTAAATGGCACAGTGGGCTATGAATGGTTTTAAGTCTTGCTGAATAATATTTTTGAAGAAGCAAGCTTATCAGTCATGATAAACAGCAGGAAAATATAGTGGCTCCAAACAGTAATTGGCAACAAGCAGCCTCCTATAACCTTTCCATTTGCCTTCTGAGATGGATGAAGTACTGATGGCCAGAGTCCTCTGTTTTGACCTCATTGCCATACGCTTTTACAATCTGCAGCTCAGTAAAAATGTCAGTATATATATATATATTATATATATATTACTGAGTAATATAGCCCTAGTCTGAATAATTTGCAGACTAGGGCTAATGCCTTCTAGAGGAACGTCGAATGATTTAGCCTACATTACCAGTCTGGACGAGACAAAGGTGATGATCTGCAGGAGGATAAAAGGTAGCTGAGACCTACGGCCATCAAGGAGAGAAAAGAAAATTTCTGTGGGTACAAAAATCAGGCTTCTTAAGATATTCCTCACTCTAGCAGATGCAGAGGAGACTACTAGAAGGCTGACGTGTGCAGGCAGCTGGCTTTTCAAAATAAACTGTTAGGACCAGCAACTGTCAGCACTATATCAGAAATGGGGCTAATCAGAAAACGGGTGGGTGCAGAGGTCATGCATTGGTGTGATAACAAGGTGGAAGCTCAGCTGTTTGGAAGGTACTGGGTGAAAGGGCTGCCTGCTAAGTACTGTGCTTTTCGACCGACTGGTGGGTGGCGTGCCAAGAGGTAGGTATTGTGCAGTGTAACTAGGTGACCTGCCAGAATGATGAGGTTGAACTCCAGAGGCACTAGAAGCTGCTAGAGGTACACCGGAGACTACAGTGGCGCGCATTGGCAGATAGATAATTAATGGTCCCTACCCAGAATAAGAACCTCCTTTTGTTCACTATGTGAGAAAGAAGTGCAACTCACCTTGTAGGGATTTTAAATTAATATCCATAATGCAATGAGGCACTGCAGTGTTGCACACCTTAGAAAGACGCCTCTTCTTGTTTTAACACAAGCAGAGATTGTGTTTTAAATAACACATGAGTCCATGTAGTGTCTGGTAAGAAGAAAGCAAATTACTGAATAGTCATTTGTCATTAGATGAACACAGGCAGTCCTGTTCACCAAGCAAGGCAGGCATCCAGTGAAAAATAAGTTATGGTCACGTACCTAATGTGTGCAAGCAAGAAACCAAATTAAAGTCGTTTTAATGCAGTTTGTTAAAGCAGTTACCTGACTTCTGAACGGTCAGTTTTGTAATCGTAAGTGTTCGTATGGTTTTGTGAGTGCAGTATTTACATAGCACCTTAAAAGTATGAAGTCTTACATGAGTAAAGAGTATTATTTCACAATTTTTCATGGAAATTCCATGCCTGTTGATTCCTTTTGCCTGACACAGGCTAAATAAATCTCCATGATATGCTTTTGTTTGTATGGCTTTTTCCTTCTGCCTGTGGTAATATATTCTGTAAGTAAGAGCATAGATGTTTGACAGACATGCTAATCCAGTAGATGGTGCTGCATGTCTGTGTATTTCAGGGTTTTTTTTTAAACAAGAGTTATCAAGTTGCTCAGTTAAAAGGGAGAATATCGATTCCATTCTAAAAAAAGCCCAAATATGCGGTGATTATTTGCTAGTAAAACTTATGGGTGTTATTTTTAAAGCTGTGTTAGAGAAACGAAAGTTACTGTGGGCAAAATAGCACTGTAACGTGACAAAGTATTTTCCTCTGTTACAATTCCCTTTGAAGCGGTTGAATTTTCACTTATGTAGACTACTGTACCCGTTTGTTCAAAACACATAAATACAAAATGACTGTTCCTGGCCTTTATAAGGACTTTATAAAGCTCCTGTTGTATCTAGTAAAAAAAAAAAGTTTTTGATTTTTTGTGTTTGTTTATGCCCAAGCTCTTTAAATAGTTGATCTGTGGGAAAATGAAGATTTTAATTATGGTTTGGTTTCTAGCAAATGCCTCTGTTGTCTAAAATACGGAAGAGCATTTTTTCGCGAAAGTTCATCTAAACTATCAGGTTTTACTACTGAAAAAAGACTCATTTGAAGGGTTATTGGATCATTTATAACTAAGCCAATGTAGCAAGTTATTATATATTTAATCAATAGATAATAATAATAAATTCTACATGCGATTCTTTTCATTTGCATTCTCAGAGTGTTTTGTAATGTTAATGATGGGGTGTAATGGGGCTTATTGTATTCTTTCAGATGGGTAAACTAAGACAGGTAACTCAATGAAAGAAGCCAAAATGGGAAGAGAGATCAATGGGAGTGTTCAACTGAATAAGAGACAGAATATACAGGAAATATGAAGGATGGAGAATCTGCCATGATAATGATTTGTGCATTGACTAAAATCTGATGTCTTTATTGAAACTTAGATCTTAACAGTATAGGGGAAAAAACATTGCGAAGGAAGATAAGTTGCTCATAATTCAACACTGATGTGTTATCAGTTACAGATAAGCTGTTGCTAGCAAGTGAATGGAATAGTTTGGTACTATGTTTAATTTTTGATGTTTTAAAATAAAAGACCAATAATAAAAGACCAATAATATAAACCATAAAATAAAAAGACCAATAATATAAACCAAAAGGAAGTACTTCTGAAGTTTGAGGAAGTCTAAAATTTGCAACTAAAATTCATAACTCACTTCCAGATTTCATCTGTCACGGTCCCCAGTAGATTCTCTTTGGCCTGTTTGCACAGCTGTGTTGGAAAAGGCTGTGACTTTTGCTGATGGGGGTCTGTGGGCACAGGCTTTTGTGTGGTGGATAGGGGTACAGGAGAGAAAAACTCTCCACTTGCTGGAATAAATCATTTCATTTGGAACAATTGCTATAAGCCTAGACTGACATAGGATCATTTGTTTTACTAGCACAACCTGAGTTTTCATTACAAGAATCTGCTGGGATAGCTGTAACAGCAAATCCTTTTAGGTGTAGACAAAAGCTTATTTTGCAGGACAGTGGAGAAGTGTCTGCTCAGCGCCTTTGAGCATTAGCCGATAGAGGGCACTGCAGCCAGCAGTCTGTCAGTGCGCAGTGGGTTAGGATGTACGTTTTCAAAACACTGTTCAGAAAATGTTCATGTAAAACCATTACTAGGTTTTATTTAATAACCTTCTAACCCCCTCTCTCTCTCCTCCTCCTCCCCTGTGTTCCTCTAATGCCTTTTACAGCTCTTGCTGCACAGCGTGAAGCCTTAGAGCTGTATTCATCAATGACTCACACCCTTGCTTAGGGGCCAATTTTCATGGAAGCTATACAGGAAAATCTTGAAATGCACCTATCTCATGCAGGGCACAAGATGATTTCTCTATTCATTACTATTCCAAAAGGACTTGTTGCCCTTTGGAAATGTTCAGATATTACTTACATTTGTGTGTGCATGCATACATGTGCAGAGGTAACTTGCCTTTAGATTTGAGTGTTCTAAAAATAAAAATGTATTGTTATTATCATTGACACTAGTCAACTGAAAGGTAACTAAGGACCTGCTTACATTGTGTGGCAGCAGGCAAATGCAAAAGAATAAGCAGCAATCTGCTTTAGATGAGCAAATCCTACAGATTCAAGCACAAAACTTGTTAAAAATCACCCTTTTGTTTGACACTGTGATTAACAGCCTTCTGAGGAATTTGAAAGCAAAGCCAAGGATTTACTCTAGGAGACCAAATCGTACTTTCGCCTGCAGAAGTTATTTTTCTAGGTCAAGGTTATAGTACGTTTCTAAAACAGTAGGAGAAAACATGTTCCTTTTCCTTAAAGATATCTTATGTTAACTCAAGCTTTTAACTTTTTAGGGGAAGAGGAGATGAGAGCATACAAATTATTAGCCAAAATGACCTGATTAAAACCTGTCTGACAGGAAGGGAGTCTTTGCTGCAATATTACAAGTCATAGAATAATTACATTCGAAGGGGTTGCTAATTATAACCAAAATTGCTTTAAGCAGTGTTTGGGAAGAGACTGAGACTTACTGCTTAGCATAAAGCAGTTTTATTTACATATGTACAAAGTCACTTACAGAATTAGACTAATTACGGTATTTCACTGTAAATTGTTGTAAAAATGGTGTCATGCAATGGTGAATCAGAACTGGTAAAAAAAAAAAAGGGAGGTATAATATACTTTTACTTTTTCGAACTCCAGCGTTTCAAATCATAACTGTAAAAATAGCAATTGCTTTCTCTTTATTTCTTAAGCAGAATGGAAAAACCTCTTTCTGCGGATCGGACCTATCCAGTGACATGCATTTCCACCCTCAGTTGGCTCAGGTGAGTTCCTTAAGGAGGTGTGAAAGATCAGGTCTGCTTTTTGCTATTCGTGGATATTGTTTTGCCTAAGTGAGTTCTGCTAAAGTAACTTTTTGCCTGGCAGAACAATTTTCTTCATTTTAAGATGGCCTAAAGAGAGAGCTTCGTCTTATGAGAGTGCCTAGAATTCCCGAACTCCATTGTGTGTGTGTGTTAAACGTAACAGGAAAATTCATAACCCTATCAGATGTTAAAGTAGGTAGTGAGCCCCATAAAGGCAATAGTATGATCCTTGTTTCATAGATGAGGAAACAGAGGCACAAAGAAGTTGAGTAACTTGCCTCAGATTGCACAGAATACAAAGTAGGAAATGAAAATTATTTGCTTGCGTTTTATTTTCAGAAAAAAATGTAGTGCGGTATATGAAAGTAATTGCTATTCTTTTTAGATGGGGTAGCCTATATCCAGTTGTGCCATTCTGAAGTCCATTTGTGCTGTAGAGAATATGTAGGGATTGTGAATGTACCCATAAGTAGCATTGCAGAGTTGAACTAATTGCCAGGCCAAGCAAGGTTCCAGACTAAATGGGTGAATAATTTGATCCAAGATGGATTTGTACTTCTACCAACACAGCCTGAAATCTTCTAACGCTTTTGGATTTGACTGTGAGCTGTTCATTGTTATTTGAGCCTGTTCTTTTCTATTACCATATTTTCTCTGGGTATCATTTCTGTGTACTTTATCTTTGCATAAAAGGCCGTATCTTTACCATATTTCCAGGGAGTAGGGAGTAAAAGCATACAAAATTTACTGCTGTAGGCCAAAAATATGATAGATAGAGCTAGTGCATTACAAAGTTCTTGCTCTCAATCACGCGGGAGGCTCTATACACTTCTGTCAGCTGTGGTAGATATGTGCCTACACCGTAATGGGAGAAGGGTTAACAGCAAACCAAGACGTTTTCTGTGGCAAAAACTGAGGAAATCTTCTCTAAGCAATTATCTTTTATGTAATAAACAGTGCTATGTGTTCAGCGGTCGATAGGAGGGAATTTTCTTCCCCTAGTCTCCTTCCTTTCAACTTAAAATAGAAATGCTGTTATTTTGACTAGCAGGCTGGTGTGTCGTGAAGCCTGGCCGTAGATGCTTGCATGTTAAATTTACACTGCCAGCAGAAGCGTTACTATGATAGGCTGTGTCTCCTTTCCTTGAATAAAATGCAATAAGCAAATAAAATGGGTGTTAGAGCTTCAGGGATCAGTTGTGAGCTTTTTGCACACATGTCTATTTATATAATGCAGTCTCTTCAGAATAGAGAGTGCATTGCTTTTTATCACAGATTCCATTGGCGTCATAAAACTGTGGCTAGCTTCTCGTGTGTACTTTTAGCTTCTATTGACTCTGAACATCCAGCTTCCAATTACCAATAAATACATTCCAAAATAATTTGCTTCGGTTAAAGGACACGCAACCTGTTATGACCAGATATTTGCTGACAGTATAGATAGCTTGTGCTTTAAATGACCCTTAAAGGAGGTGCAAGCTTGACCAGCTTGGAAAGGAGAGGCCAAAAGCTATGTTATGTGGTTAAGGTAATAAAGAATTTAAAGATTAGGAGAGTATATCTGGATTTCTCTGTAGAAGCTTTGGCTTTCAGTGAGTGTGATTTTCTTCGTGAATGTGGTGAGACCTTTGGTAAAGAAAGATCAAGCAGCTGAATATTCTATGGCTGAATGGTCCCTGACTGAATGGTGTTACAGGATACATAAAAGACTGAGGCTTCAAGGCAGCATAGCATACTCATAGCTTTCTCTGTGTTATGTATAAACAGTGTCTCTGTCTACTGTTCTTTCTGGTGAACTGCAGATACTGTGATCTCTTTCCTGACCACCAGTTTTTCCTGTGCCCTCATTTTTACTTCTCAAATACATTTTCCGGAAGAAGAGTTCCACTCAAAAAAAAAAAAAAAAATATTAGGGCACAAAATTGAAGATACAGAAAGTTAGTCCCTCTTCACATATCAGAAGTTATATGCAAAAGTAGCGGTAATTGCAAATGGATGCTTTCTATATTGCTTTTTATCACTTTCTTTATAAACAGTGGAATAGTGAAGTAAGGACAACGCCACAGAAGTCCAGTGGCATTACAGTTAAAGGAACGATGCAAGCGAAGAATCAGGCCCCAGCCTTAGCCATAGCCATTCCCAATGCTACCGAATTCTTGAGAGACTGCAATTTCTTCTGCTTCCACTTGTGTCCATGAATCCTCTATGCTTAAGTCTTTCTGCATCTGGCTTGTAAAATCCTGTGTCTTTAATAAGATTCTTCATTTTCTTCTTGATTTTGGCAGTACCGAGGGAATCAAAACAGCTGTTAATTGTTTATTTATTAACAGTTCTGTTTTTTGTGGAAGGAAATTGGCCTTTCTCCTACCAGCATACAGGGAGCCAGAGAATGCCCCATTGTTGTCAAGGCAACAGCTTTTGCTTGGGGAGCAGCAGCAGAAAAAGTGAGAGGAATGTCCTCCAGAGAACCAAGGTCTTTTGTCATATGTCATATAAACATGTGCGTGGTCCATTCACTGCGAACAGCATCTATTTATAGGTTAATAAAAGCAGAAGTTATACCCAGCTCAATATAATGAGATGAAGCTTACATTTCTAACAAAACATTCTAGTGTATATGCAGGTACATGATTGCAATGCCCAGACTGGGCTTCTCTTCAATGTGCTTGTTCGGTTGTGCAAGGTCATTATATGCCCATATGAAAATACTATTATAAATCAAATGCATTTAGCCTTTTGGGAGGGAAAGGGGGTTTTATTTTCTTTAGTATGTAGAACTTACAGCAAGCAGAACTTCCTACTTAATATTTTTATCGTTATTCAGAGCTCCAGAAGAAGGACCTCTGTTGGTCTGTACCACCCACTGAATTATACCGCTTGCCTTCCCAGGCGATTTATTTCTCATGCTGGACAAACTTCTTAAAAACAGTGAAACCGATCCTTAGCTGGTGTAAAGCACATAGCATAGCTGTTGTTTCAGCTGAGCTAAATCATATCTGATGTGGACTGCATGAATTCAGTGTGGAAAAAGCCATTGTTGGCGTGTTAGAAATGAATATAACCTGCCAAAAGCGCCTTTGGTCTATGACAAGGCCAGGATCCAAGGTTTCTTTCTACGTGGCAATATTTCTGCAATTCCACTGCTGAAACAGCCAACAGTTAGACAGTCTTATATTTTTATATTGTAGTTGGAATGCTCAATGTGTATTCTCACAGAGGCATAATAAACGATCCATTTCCCATTAGAGGTACAGCAAGGCTATCAATAGTTTAATAACTTGTTTTAAATGGCGAGGTCAGACAGTCCTAAGACCTCTCTGACTGTGCTTAGTGTTGGTATGAAGTGATATCTGTCTTCAACTCGTACAACAGTTACTTGATATCTCTAAAGCTCACGTTTGTTGCTGTGTTACTGCTATATGTATAGTAAAATACTGTATTGGACACAGCATACTCTCGTTTGATATTACAGTTCTAAAACTTTCCCTTAAAAAGGGAATCGTGTAAGTACTATAAAGTTATATTAGCAGTAGGAGTATAGTTGCTTATTTTTAGGATTTACATGTGGCAGCATCATTCATATTTGTAGGCAGTGAGCCTGATACCTTGCATTTACAGTTAAGTTGAAATAATTTTCTCCCGCTTTATTTTTTTTATTGGCCTTTTCTTGGTTAAAAACACTGTTGTTTGTTTGATTTACAAAAGAACTTCCAAACTGTTGCAAACTGTGATACACCTAGCTTTTGGATCTAATTTAACATTTATTCCCATGTTGTGTAGTAATTTATGTCACTGAAGAGTGAGTAAGGTATACCTACAGATATAAAAGATTACCTATGAATTAAGGCCTTTGAAGTGTATTTCATTGCCGTATCAGTCATGTGCATAAGGTTCTGAGCCAAGGAGTACAGGCTAAAGCATATACAATCCCTTTAAAAAGTAGAATGTGAGAATTTAAGTTGCAGCATAGTTTCATGAAATGACATCTCCTGATTTGTCAGGTGAAGTATCAGAAATCCTATTTCTAATCCTTTCCGTGTAATACGACCTGGGGACATTAGAAAAAAAAGAGCACAGTCTTTCAGATAGATAGACTCCGCAGGGTGCTTATAATTCAGTTCCCCTTCTCCAGCCTCTCCACCCACTGGTTGAGTCTCTCACTGCCCTTCCAACACCTAATGCACTTCTAACAACAATGGAGGGGAGGGCAAGAGCAGTGTGGTGAAAAATTAGACGTTGCAGACAAAAACTTAACAGACTGTCTTTCTCCCCGTGTCACAATATGAACTGGTCAAGTGAAAAATAATGGCCATTATCCCGTCTCACTGAATGACTTAAATGACTTACAGCCGCATGCAGAGGAAGTTCTTTGGACTATTTCCATGTTTTTTTGTTTTTCGTTTTTTGGTTTTTAATTTGTATGGTAAGATGTGCAAAGTAGATTTTTTTTTTTTTTATGATTTGAGTAGCTTCATTTTTCTTTGACCTCTATGTCAAGTAAGGATAATTTCACTGAACTCTTTGGAGTTACTTCACTGTTAAATGGATGCTGTGAGAACACTCTCACAGTCCTTAGACAACTTTCCACTTGCTACTTCTCTATGCTCGTGATAAGCTCCTGTTTACGTTTTCCCCATGGCTGAGGTTCCTGGCATGTGGTGCGTTGAACCAGAACATACTTCTGGCTTTCTTAGGAAAGATGGCTCTTTATGAATGACTGTAATGTTGTAAAGGCCTTGACTTGAGGAAACATGCAGGGCTATGGTATATGGGGGGAGTCTCATGCATCCAAGTAGCTTTGATGTTAAGTTTGTTAGCAATCTGGAAAATGTAGGTATTGCAATAAGTACAACGCTGTATTTACGAGCTTTACAAACCCAGCATCAGAGTCACTTGAGCGTGAACCTGAATGCTTGTCTTTGACATTCCAGGCTAGCACCTATATCCACCAAGATACT